CGCTCCTCGGTCAGGGCTGCTCCCCGCTCCTCCGTCAGGGCTGCTCCCCGCTCCTCGGTCAGGGCTGCCACACGCTCCTCCGTTAGGGCTGCTCCCCGCTCCTCGGTCAGGGCTGCCCCACGCTCCTCGGTCAGGGCTGCCCCACGCTCCTCGGTCAGGGCTGCCCCACGCTCCTCGGTCAGGGCTGCTCCACGCTCCTCGGTTAGGGCTCCGTGCAGCCCTGAGGTGACGGGTCAGAGAGCTACTGGCTTCCCCACCCAGGGGCGTAAACGTCGGCTGTTCCCAAATACGGGTTAGGGAGGTCTGAGAACCCCCTTCCCTTTGAGGCAGGAGGCGGGATCATAAAGCTGGGCCATGGTGGTCATGGCAGCTGGGGCTGTGCGTGTGCACGTGGTGCTCGGAACAGGATGCTCGCCAGGCGCCGTCTGAGTGGAACCTGCCGGGCTCAGCGCCTTCCGTGGGAGAATGAAATCCCCACTGGTGGAGGCCTCTCCCTGCTGCACACTAAGCACCACCCCTCCCTCGCAAGAGGGTCCTCCACCTGCAGAACGTGCTCCCCTGCTGAACTGGTGGTGTGTCCCCGACCCTGGGACCCGGGCACGTTAGGTTTGTGTGTTTCCAGACCTGGCTCCCCTCTCCCGTGAGTGGGGAAGAACTTCCCACCCAAGCGGGGTTTTGGGAGTGTGAGATCAGATTGCCGGCTGGACTGGCACTCCCATGTTAGTCCCGAGAGGGCCCAGGTGGTCGGCGGGACCAGGAGCACAAGGCACCTGGCAAGGAGCTGGTCTTGTGGTCGCACACACACACGTGCACACACCAACACGTGGACATACGTGACTTGTAGACATGCATACACGACACGTACCAACTGACCACACACGCACACACGTGCCTGCACACAGCCTGCACACAGCACACACGTGCACGCCTGACCCCAGGTGTACACTTGGTCACACGCGTGAACACATCCTAGCCCAGAGATTTCCTATGACAAGGGTGGTTGTCTCCTAGGTTCCATGCGTGTGCACTGCAGCTTCCGTTCAATCAGCCAGTGAGGAACAACCCCTCATTCTTCCTCCGGGTCATCTCCGACACCGCGTCTCGCTGCTACGCCCTCCTGAGAGCCAAGAACGCAGGTGCACAGGGACGCAGGGCACGGCTGGCAGGGTCCAGGGGTCGCCCGTGGTGCTGGCGAAGCTCGGACGGCTCCCTGCACGCTCCAGCACGGAGCTGCCGTGTGCTCTGGGAGCCCCACAGCCAGAAAGCACCAGCCCCCTGTGTGGCTGAGTTAGGAGGCTCAGCTTCAGGGCTTCTGCGGCTCTCGGGCCGGGTTCAGCTTGATGACCGCTCGCTGGCCTCCTCTCGCGCCCTCGCCGTGTGGGCAGATGGCGACGTGGTTGGGGTGTGACGTACGTTTGGGACCTGGCTGTTGGTCCTTCCCTCGCCCACTCTGCCTCCCCCTGGGTGCCCTCCTCTCTGCGGTGCTCTGAGGGCTGCACAACCCCAGGCCACGGTCCCTGTAGCCGCTCTGCCCGTCTCGGGGAGGGAAGCCACGTGCGGGGCGCCCACGCGAGCTGCTCGCCCGCCTCTGCTTCAGGGTGCACTGCCCTCTGGCTTGGCTTTCCTCTGGGCGTCTGCACCTGGACCTCCTGTGGAGCCACTGTCTGTGCTCCCCCAGCTTGTGGTGTGCGTTTCTGATCAGTCTGGTGTTCAGGCCAGGCAGTGTCTCCGTGGTCCTGAGCCTAACGCTCAGCTTTTTGTTGTTTCTGTTTCGTGGAAGTTTCTTTGGAGAAGAGGGAAACGTTCAGTTGTCAGAATTCTCTGGTGCTTGTGTGGGACGGCCCCTGAGTAAAATCGCCCGTCTGCCCCCCGCCTCCCAGCCCTGCGCTCGGCCTGGAGGGACCCTGGGCAGCGTCTGGAGTGCATGGTCTCTCCTGGGCGGAGTGCGGGGCTGGGCAGGGGCCTCAGCCTCTCTGTGTGTCCCCAGGGATGCCACTAGGGACCAAGGGCGCCTTGGGCCCATTTCCTCTTGAAGCTGCTCAGTGGCTCTGCCTCCGCGCCTTCCTGCTCAAGCTCGCTCGTCACAGCGTCACCTACAGGCCTCTCCTGGGGGCGCTCCGGGCAGGTAAGAGAGGGCAGAGTTAGCACCCAGCCCCAGAGACCCCCCCACCCCGTCCTCGAGCGTGCGTGCGTCTGGGCCCGCCCTGTCTGTGTGGCAAGTGGTGGGTGCAGGGTGATGGGATGAGGGGCCCGAGGGTCTCGGGCTCCCCCCCTCATTCAGGGGCCTGGCACGCCCACTGGGCCACCCATGTCTCCAGGCCACACCTCCACAGCCTATATCCCTACCCACGGGAACTGCATCTAGCTGTCTCCCTTCCAGCCCCACTGGCCTACGTGTCCTTCCTCCAACTCCCGACCTGTGTCTCCTCGGGTCCCTGCCCTGGCTGCCCCCGACACTGGTGTGGGGGTCATCAGCTTCTCCTTCCCTGAACAATCCCCCCAACCTGCACCCTGTGCTCTGAGGGTCCTCACTGGGTCCTTGTCTGCTCCCTGCCGATGGTGGGTGCTGCCCCTTGTTGAGGTTCCTGGCACCCTGAGCCCGGCCTGCCAACAGTAGGCACTCAGCACACAGACCGTCCTGCCTGGACTCTCAGCGGTGTCCTGAGCCTAGGTTGAAGGTTGTTCTCAGTTTCCTCGAGAAACAGGTCTGACATCAGTCATCTCCTTGCAGCCCAAGCACAGCTGTGCCAGCAGCTCCCGAGGGCGACACTGGCCGCCCTGGAGGCAGCAGCTGACCCGGCCCTGACCACAGACTTCAAGGCCATCTTGGACTGATGGCCGGCCCTTCTCATAGCCTAGGGTGGACCCCCAGGGCCCTCAAGCCCCATCCCATGTGGTTCCACATCCAATGTGGTTCCATGTCCCATGTGGTTCCACGTTGTGGAGGGGGCTGGCTCCACCGTGAGGGTCTGGCTCCTCTCCCCCAAGACCCCAGGACGTGTGCTGCTGGCCGGGCTGCTCCCGGGAGGGGCTTGGCCATGTCCTCAGGAAGCAGGGCCTGCCTTCCACCACCCTCTGGTGACGGATCTGTCCTTCAGCCCTGATGGTAGAAGG